AGGCAAGCAATTCTGCAAGAACACTGCAATCATAATAGCTTTCCCCCAATACTGCTTCGGGAGCTTGGCATCGAGCAATATACAGAGCGCCATTTCCTGGATGTAACGGTTTCGTCGCTCAGCTACTCCGTTCTGTTGGGGTGAGTACGGAGTATACTCCGAACAAATCCCCTTCGACTTGAGAAAATTTACCAACTCCATATTTACATATTCGCTACCATTATCGGAACGAATTACCCGAGGTTTCTTCCCGAACTGCGTCTCCATCATTCTCACATATTCCCTGATTTTAGGTCCGCAGCTTCAGGTTTTTTCTCACCTGCTCGAATGGACCACAGAGGTCAGTATGGACCAGATCGGGAATCTCAGTAGAACGCCTCTCTGCCTTTTTCGGAAAAGCTTTCCTAGCAAGTTTGCCTTGCAGACAGCAGTCGCAAGCCAAACGTTCACCACAGTCGACAACTTTCATATCGTCCCCCAAGCTTTTGTTGACAATCTGGTTCACAACATCATAATCGCGATGACCAAATCGGCGATGCCAAGTGTATTGGCATTGGCATAACTTCGTGTGCTGCACCACACTCGAAACCATTGATCTCTGCTCCTGACGCAGAACATACATTCCCGCACAGCGGTCGGCAACAGCACGCACCTGCTTACTTCGATCGAGGATCTGGCACCCGTTGCCATCGAACAACACAGAATATTTTTTAGAATTAATGGTACTCACAGACACAAGACTTTCTCCAGTTGTACCTCCTCAGACCTTCCATTGCCGTCAATGCAACGAAGCAATCCACTACCACAGCCTTCCGGCATCGTCGTTTCACCGTTGGCCAACGTAACCTGTCCACCGGTTACCGAACAAGACGCCGCCCCCGCAGGAACAGCTTCATCGGATGCTTCGCTGTTTCGTGCCAGAAAACACAACGGAGATCTCGATCGTTGAACTTGATTCGCCTTTTGCTCCTTCTTAATCGGGGAACCTCGATTGTGCTTGTCACTGACATCCACTTGCTTGCTGGCCATAAACTTCCGACAATCTTTGCGGATCTTTGGCCTGGTCGATTCGGCATTCTTCGACGAAAACGTACGCAGCAGCTTATTTTCGCCTGACCCAGCACCTCGCTGATCTTCCCGCTTCTGAAACTCATCTGTCAACTTTTGCTTCACCAGATCGATTGTGATGTCGTCGTCTGGTCGAGCCTCTAGAGCAACCAGTAGGCCGTCGTCCGATTCCGGTAGGCTGCGCAGAATCATCGCCACCTTCAGCTCCTTTGACAACTCCAGATCAGCTCGTCCAGTTCCATACACGGCGAATGAGAACGACTCAAATTTGAGTTTAGTTCACTCATAATCGCCAAAACTGCAGGAACGCAGCGATGAGTAAATTTGATGTCACTGTATTCTTCTAATAATGCTCCTTCAGGGCATTCCAGCGCGCACGGGCACTCACAGCATTTCGGATCAGACCGATTTGGGTTTCTTCGATGCAAAGTCCAATCGTCCAATGGTTGCTTCCGCCTTCAAGTCGTCCTTCTTCCATCGATCCGTCACAGGTTCCGGCTTTGCTTCTTCGATGACCCACCAAATCACCTCCCGCGTCGGCAACTGTTCCATTCGAAATTTCCAGGTTATCCAGTTGTTGGTCGTCAGCTTCGGGAAATTGAACTTCTCCGCCATCTTTCAGCTGCACCTTGTGTTGCTGTGCAACCAAATGCAAAAATCTTTCTTTACGTTTGCGATTTTGTGTAACTCACTGGGCCCATAACCTATAGAGATTAGTGACGTTTAACGCACGCACACTAGCGGGGGCAACGCCGTGAAAAGTTGTTTATTATTTTCCTCTGGCTAACCTAAAAAATGTATGAAAGTAGATCTGTCAAAATGAGTTTGACATCGATTTATTATGTATTTTCCTCGGATATTCACTAACACGCTCTCACATATCGCACCAATACAATCAGACGTGAAAATCTCTATTGGCGTGATAGGCAGTGGGAATGTTCAGATACCGTGAATAAATCAAGAAACTATGCTTGTGTACTGCGTTTTATTGAACGTCGACTAACAAAAGATAGGTTCATAATAATATGATCTTCGCAGCAATGTTGCCAGTATTACCTCACGGTGTACATCATCCGCAGACAGTAGCGTCGTCAACAGAGATGAGCTATTTCGGGACGCCATACTTACGACTTGTCTCCGAACGAAAAACACACGCTCACTCCACCGTGGACTTCGAGCATCTCCTTTTAATTCACAATGTCACAATACAAAACAATAGTAAGCAGTCGACTGTCATCACGATTAATCGACTATTTTCCGACATTCCCATTTGCAAGTGGTGAGTGACCATCTAACGCATTTCATTCCCCGGTTTGTGGACTATAATAGGATGAGCCCGCATTCATCAGTTTGACATCCTGTGTTGGTTTGTTTACCTTTGACTAACAACGATTAAAGTGGATTGGCGTTTTTTAATGAAAAGGACCAAAAGATATGCTATCCGACTATGTTTGTTAAAAACATCTTGTTCTCTATAAAATAAAAAAAAAAAACCATTTAATACCACCTCCATATGTAAAAAAAGCGAGTTCAACCCAAAGGTGCAGCTCCCTATTCTCAGAAAAATGGGAGTCAACACCCGAAGATGCCATTCGCCATTGATCTTCAGTGTCGTCTGGTTATCGTAGTCCTCTTTTGCCATGCTGCTTATAATTGATAGTTTTCAAGAACCTATGCTTATCATTTTGCTCCATGATTGTGTGTAGCTTGACCTTTATTTCTGCGATGGAATTGCAATTAATTCATTTACGGTATGCGTGATAATGTTTGCACCATCGTAAAAATAAGGTTCCCTTCGTTCCCCAGTTTTCTTTGCATGCACATAACCTATAGCTCATACCGTAGTAGCAACAATCAATACGAAACTAACGATTTTAAATTGGCTCACCACTTTAGTAGCCTATTGGTCCCAAGCAAACGATTAACGTACCCTATTCTTGTCGATATTCTAGTACTACGCAATGTTTGTTTTGATTCGCTATGAAAGTTTGACAGATAAAATGAGGGGTTATTGGTTTTTCCTATGTTTCGAGGGGTGAATCGATTAGCTTGGGACCGAAGGGAGTACCAGAGCTGAGCCAAAAAGTTGAGCACGTTATTTCGGGACCTTCTAGTCTTAGAGTTACCTCTATGGTAGTAGCATAGAGGTAACTCTAAGACCACTGGGTCCCGAAGAAAATCATTATTATTTTTGGCTCACTCAGTACCAGAACAACGGTCCCAAGCAGTCCCAAGCTATTTCACTCACCCCTGCATGTTCTGCATGAATCCACACACCCCTGATGTTATCTGTCAAACTTTCATAGCGAATCAAAACAAACATAGTGTAGTAATAGAATTTCAACTAGAATAGGGTACGTTAATCGTTTGCTTGGGACCAATAGGCTACTAAAGTGGTGAGCCAATTTAAAATCGTTAGTTTCGTATTGATTGTTGGTAGTAGGCTGTGTATAAAAGAAAATGATTCACTTAGTCTGACAGTTGCACCATGGCGAAGTGGCAGCGTATTCGTGATTTGTCCCACGCGCAAAACTCGCAAATGACATTTCAATCGCCGTGGGAGTGTCCCGGTAGACCGTCAAAAGGGTTTTAGACCGAGAAAAGAAAGGACTACTATCCGCGAAGGTGGCCACAGGTCGTCCGAGGTCAGCTCGAGTTCCGAGGGTTATCGCTGCTATCATAAGGAAGATAAGGAAAATGGCAAAGGAACACGGGATCAGTGACTTTACTGCACGCAAAGGAAGATTGCGGGGCGAAGTCGAGGGCACGGAAAAAACTCACATGATTACCAACCGCATCCGGAAGCTACGAGTCGAACGATGCAAGAAAATCTTGAACTTCCTTAAGCGAAAAAATCCGGTAATCCTGTCGATCCCGTATCAAATTCCAGAACCGACCGGTATATTAGTTCTCTTCCGGTAAAAGACGTGGCCGACGAGCACAAGAACGTGTATCTGACCAAGCATCCTGCTAGCGTTATGGTGTTTGCATTGGTGGCTTCCGATGGCAAAAAAATGGACTCGGTGTTCATTCCAGAAGGCGACAAGGTCAACACAGAGGTCTACATCGGGATTTTAATTAAGTATGTTCTTCCGTGGATCAAAGAACAGTACGGTCCGAAGCCAAATGTTGTATTTCAACAAGGCACTCAGAAGTGGTTGCAGGAATATCTTCCGTTCTGGGCGAAGGATATGTGGCCGCCATCCAGCCCCGATCTTATTCCGCTGGATTACTCAATATGGCGCGTCATGAAGACCAAGGCCTGTTCTAAACGCCACCCGAGTACAGCAAGCCTCAGACAAACATTGACCCGTACCTGAAGAGAAATGGATCCAGACTACATTATTAGAACCTGCCGTGCATTCCGGAAGCGTGTGGAGGCCGTAATTGCAGCAAGTGGAAACTCGATCGATGATTAACATAGTTTAAGACTCTGAGAAACATCCCCCTTTAAATAAATAAAAAAAAACTCAAAAACGAAATTTTTTAGATTTTTTTAATTTTTGACATTGGTGCAAACATTATCACGCATACGGTACTTAAGCATATCACTGATGGCTATATTAATCGTTATTTCTTTTTTTCATTTTCAGAAATCAATCACTCTACCAAGTGCTAGACACCAATAAATTCTGTGATCCACCTAGCTAAACCTGAGATCGTCATAAACATAAGAAGCAAGAAACAGCGAGAACACGCCGTCGCTTTTTGTTGCTATAAGAAGATTGCCAACACGTGGTGACATCGGCAGTTCTCCAGCATCTCCCTCCTTATCTCTTCGCTAATAGGGATTTAATTATAATTACCCGTAAGGGTAAGTTTCCCCGGCAGTAATCACGCACTGGAGGCAAAACAATCCACAAATCTTCCCCAATCTGCCTTCCCTTCCGCAGCAAGGGAAGGTAAATACATATTTGCGCAAAGAGGAGCCAACGGGAAACGAAACGATGCGAACCGGCACCGCTGATAGGACGTCGGCTGGACGCGATCATGACCACCACTACCAGCAGCCGCAGCATGACGGCAATGACTTCGATAGGATTCCGCCAATCGTTGATGAACCACCGCCACCACCCGGTTCAGTCGATTCGCGACGGTCGAAGAGTGCGAACATCGTCATTACGACGGAAAGCAGTCCTCTAAACGTGCCGGTGGCAACCGATGGTGATTGTCTGATTATAAGGTGAGTTATATGTCTGCAGATGAATTGTAGATTAATCGACTTAGTGTTTGCGCGAGTGTTTCGAACTTATCAGTCCAGGTTAGTCCTAAAAGGTGCATTGTGTGACATAAGAGTATTATATGAACCTTTTGGACTTTGTTCTAGTGTGAATTTCCGGAGATGTAGATTTAAAGATTTTCCGCTCATTTTGATAGAAGAAGAAAGCTAGAAACGAAATTCTTCAAATGTCTATGTTGATGGTAGACAGATATTTAAAAATAGATAAAGCATGATGAATGATCGTAATACAATATTAACCGTGTATAATCTGTAACTCTCATTTACGCTTTACAACCATAGATAGATTCCTCGAGTCTGATTAGATAAACAACAATGTTGCTGAATCGTAATTCCAACACAAAGTGCAAGTGATAATAACACTATAAGTGCTATTTTCCCTTATATTGTGTAGGGTAGAGCAGAGAACTACTTCAGTCTAATCACCTATTTTGAGCCTATCGGGCAGAAACCATCAAATAAATCCGTGATTTCGGCGTTGTCAATTGTGCGTTTAGTATACGATACTGTAGTTCAAAAGATACCGAACGAAATCATTTTTTATCTTCAACCGATAGGCGTTTCAATGCGTTAGAACGAGTTGGGGGTCAAAAAGCAGTGTTAGATTTTTAACCATATCTCTACAATTTGTTACTCTTTACCAAATCTTACGATCAGTATGGAATGGTAAATAAATTTAGAAGGCATCTGCAGTGAAAACATTCTTTTGGTAGTCCATCAACAATACATTGATTTGATGTAAAAAATGTGATCAAATCTAAATTTTCATCAAGTTCAGCGAAAAAAAATCACACTGTTCAAAAGCGATTTCGCAGACACGCTCCATCCTAAATGGAATAATCGGCGGCTCTTCTGTGAACCTGTCTATCTGCATTTGTCATTTAATGTTCATTAATTATCGTTAAAATGTGTAAACAATTTGTATGCCAATTTTAACCGACGTAAATGTAGCAAAACTGCACAATCGCTAACCTTCGCTGACCTCCTCCGATTGGCGGAAATCGGCTTCTGGTTCCTTTTCGATGGAATATGGCAGCCGGTAGTGATCTGTTTTGACTGATTCAAGGTAAACAAACCAGAAATGGAAATCCGCGCACAGATAAGGATGTACGATTTGCGGGTAATTTACACGAAAATGAAGCGAAAATAGAGCTAAAGGGGAAGCTTACCGCAAAACATTTATTTCTGGGAAAATTTACATGTTTTCTACCATCATGAAAAACATGGACTCTAAACAAAATCCAAAGGTCGCATTTTACTTTTTGGGAGTTCAACTTTGCGCCGTGACACAGAATAATTAACAAAAAACTTGTTGTTTAGATTATTGATAGGGTTACGGAATATCAGTCTAGCCCCTCACTTCGGCCTATCAAGCAAATAACATATCCGTTCAGCAATAATACACAGTAGTAGCAACAATCAATACGAAACTAACGATTTTAAATTGGCTCTCTACTTGACTAGCCTATTGGTCCCAAGCAAATCGATTAACGTATCCCATTCTAGTCAAAATTCTAGTACTACACAATGTTTGTTTTGATTCGCTATGAAAGTTTGACAGATAAAATGAGGGGTTAGTGGATTTTCCTATGTTTCGAGGGGTGAATCGATTAGCTTGGGACGGAAGATAGTACCAGAGCTGAGCCAAAAAGTTGAGCTCGTTTCTTCGGGACTTTCTGGTCTTAGAGTTACCCGAGGGGGAAGACAGTGAGAAACTCAGAGCAATCCAGAGTAGCTCTGAGGAACTCTCTTGCTATCTGATGAACGGTGGTATTATCTCGATTGTTTTGACAGCGCAGCCCAAGCAATCACATTTATCGGAGTTTGGAACTCGCAGGACTTATTCTCAAGTACGTGTCCTCACCGGAGCTGGTTGCTGGAAGGTAATATCTGTCTATTCGCTTACTCTAAGCATCTGGATGCTCAGTACACGCTAAGATCAGATAACCCAAATGTAGGTTTACTTTACCCAAATTAGGCGTAAACTGCACAAACTCAGATATAGGTAAATTTTTTAACGCAAATATGGGTAAATTTAAGTCAAATTTGCATAAAAATAAATCATTTATGGTTCATAAGAACCCATATTTGGGTAAAAAAAAATAACCCATATGTGAGTTTGTGCAATTTACGGCCAATCTCGGTAATCTCTTTGTACCGTCTAGGTAAACTGATCTTAGCGTGTAGTATTAAGGTGGCAATATCAACAATCAATACGAAACTAACGATTTTAATTGGCTCACCACTTTAGTAGCCTATTGGTCCCAAGCAAACGATTAACGTACCCTATTCTAGTCGAAATTCTAGTACTACGCAATGTTTGTTTTGATTCGCTTTGAAAGTTTGACAGATAAAATGAGGGGTTATTGGTTTTTCCTATGTTTCGAGGGGTGATTCGACAAGCTTGGGACCGAAGATAGTACCAGAGGTGAGCCAAAAAGTTGAGCACGTTTCTTCGGGACCTACTTGTCTTAGAGTTACCTCTATGGCAATATCCTGTACAATTTCATTATCACTGCAAAACGAAAAGTGTCCTCCAGAAAGCTATCGCCCGTGATTTAAGAAAATAGCCAAAACCTGTATGACAAATGCAACGGAACAGTTTCTGATTGTAAATCCTAAGTTCTCACCAGCAGCAGTCCAATCACGACCCTACCAATTAATTGCAAGTTGAATCCATTGCTTGGTCCAGTATGAAGTGGAGGCATTCCATGAACCTCAAATATTGCATCCGAACTAAAATTTGCATGGTCAGATTTCAAAGTCTATATGTCGCAAATTAGATCAGATCCCAAGGCAAACCAGAGTAGCTCTGAGCAACTAGCTCTGAGTAAAAGAGAATTTGAGAGGTACTCAAATGAAAGCCGTCTTCCTCCTCGGAGTTACCTCTATGCTATAATCGCATATCAGTCCCATATGGATTTTCGTCAATTTTAAGCTAACAACGCTATCCACTATCAATTGGCATCTACTTTCATATTACGTGATAAAACTACGGGCTTTGATAATGAAAAATGTCAAAACAACATCAAGTCAGTTTGTCTCATTAAGCAAAGTAATCGCATATCAGTCCCATCCTGAAATTCAATCGTCCATAGGTCGAGTTACAGTTCTGTTTTTTGGATCGCTATATTTTTCGCTGATATAAAAAGCTATCTTCATTGCAACTGATTTCAACTTGAAAAAATATCAATTAATTGACTATGATTTTTCAATGGGAATTGCACTTCGTAACTCAAACTGCCATTTTCTCAATGTCTACTTTTTCCATATGGGACTGATGTGGAATTATAGGCAGTTCAGTTCTCGCGTAAGAACTGATGACGATGAATGAGATAGTGTTGATCCAGATAACATAAATCACGAGCCAAATAGATCCATCTCACGACCACACACATAACGAAATGTCAAGTCAAGTGATAGCAAGCCGAACAATGCATTAACTCCTAAGTACCATTGACAGATTCTCTTAGTAGATTTTCTCTTTGCTTCCCTGCGACCATGTATAGACACTTCCTGCAATTTTCAACCCATAGTTCGGTTAAAAAAGCTATTATCTAGCATCTAATACGGTAAGAAACGGATTTGTAGGCAAGTTAAAGTCTGGAACGCGCAAAAATTGGTCAACTTCAAATTGGTGTATTTCTGTTAAAAATGCATTAAAAAACCTGAAATGCTGCATTTGGAAGTTGAGTATATATACAATGGTTGCTATGATGAGTTTTCACCGTTTGCTCTCCAGTTTTCAAAATGACGTCCAAGCAAGAGGAGCAGCGTGTCAAAATTGTGCTCGCGCAGCAAGAGAATCCGACGATCTCACACGCCAAGTTGGCAAAATTTCTGAATGTGACCAAATCGACCGTGACAAACGTTTTAAAAGTGTTCGGGGAGCGTCTGTCGACCGCCAGGAAGCCTGGAAGCGGTGGCAATCGTAATCCGGACGTGGCAGCGACGACGAAGAAGGTGGCGGTAAAATATAAGCGAAATCCTAACCTCTCCATCCGAGACGTCGCTGGCAAGCTCAATGTCTCCCATACTACTGTGCAGCGGGCCAAGAAGGTGAAGGTGGCGAACCGAGATTACAAACAAAACACGTCGGCAAAAAAGCGGTCCCGAAAGCTGTATACGGATCTACTCACAAAGTTCGAAACTTATGCAAAGGCGGATTCAAGCAGCTTCCGGGACAGGAGTTTTATACCACATCAGGAAAAGGGAAGGTGGCTGAAACTTTCAAAACCATCAAACTACCGAAGTTCTCGAAAAAATATCTCGTCTGGCAGGCCATATGCACGTGTGGTCTAAAAACGCGGCATTTTCATTACTACGGGAACCATCAATCAAGAGATCTACGTCCAGGAGTGCCTGAAAAAGCGGCTGCTACCATTCCTAAAGCAACATAATAGACCCATAGAGGTAACTCTAAGATCAGAAGGTCCCGAAGAAACGAGCTCAACTTTTTGGCTCAGCTCTGGTACTATCTTCGGTCCCAAGCTAATCGATTCACCCCTCGAAACATTGGAAAATCCACTAACCCCTCATTTTATCTGTCAAACTTTCATAGCGAATCAAAACAAACATAGTGTAGTACTGGAATTTATACTATAATGGGGTACGTTAGTCGATTTGCTTGGGACCAATATGCTAGTCAAGTAGTGAGCCAATTTAAAATCACTAGTTTCGTATTGATTGTTGATAGACCTGTGCTGTTCTGGCCGGACTTGACGAGCTGACACTATGGGAAAAAAGGCAATCGAGTGGTACGATGCGAACAACGTGGTTGTGGTACCCAAAGGCCACAACTCTTCCAACAGCCCAGAACTCCACCCCATTGAACGGTAATGGACCTTGGTCAAACGGAATCTCAAAAAAAAAACTAATAAATCCATGGAAAACGAGCAGCAGTTTAAATCTAACTGGCGTTCGGCGGCGAATAAGGTCCATGT